TGCAGTGAATATAGTACCAAGTCTAGAGTCATAGATATTGGGGAAAACAGCCCCTTAATGAGTTCAGATGCTGAGAATAACATATAAAACAATGGGAATCAGTTCAGTGCAAAACTTTATTGCAAGCAACTGGGAAGAGGGGGGAAGGAGATCCAATTTACAACTCTCTCCCTCTCTCACTCTTACACACACTCACACAACTAACATAGAGTATAACTCACATTGGGGTGGCACTGCATTGGGGAGCACAGAGACACAGGTCTGTTCAGCAGGAAGGGGGTGCTCCAGTGGGAAGGTGTGCTCTTAATGCCCTTCTGAGAGTGGGGTTCTTACGCTCTGATTTTGTGTGACCCCACTGGAGTTGGCTGATTTACACATGAGGAGTCAGAGCAAAATATTATTTTAGAGGTTTGTGATCAGGGAGAAAGACAAGCTGGTGATAGACAAAATAATATTTGAGGCACATAGCTGTACTAACCTTTGAAAAACATTGTGGTCAGTATTTTTCTATATATTCTATAAGCTCACAGCCTCCCTTAGGGGGAGGCCATTATTATGGGCACAAGACCAGGCCTAATCTTATAACAATGATTAGCTACAGCCTTGCTTAAGGGGAGACTGTCATGGTAGTTTAAGACCATCAGGCCTAATCTTATAACATCCTAGGCAAGCCACTTTAGATCTCTGTTTGCCTCAGTTTCCTCAACTATAAAATGAAAACCATAACAGCATCTACTTTGTAAGGATCAAATGAGAAATATTTGTAAAGTATAGTGCCTAGCGCATAGCAGGAGCTGTATAAATGCATATTCCTTCTTTTTCTCCCTTTCCTAATTCTGATTGATAATGAGAAGCACACCAGTGAGGGCTCCTGAGTGACAGTGCTAGAAATACCAAGCCCCCAGGAATCTAGAGGTAGAGCCCTTCGGGGAGCAGTAGTCATTGCCCTCTGGGGACCTGTCAGTGTCGGTTTGACTTGGGGCAGTGGCCACAAAGGTGGTGCTATAATATTTTGTCTCCCAGATACGATGTAAGTTCCTAGGAGGAAGGGATTGTTTCCTTTTTGTCTTTGTCTGTCCAGTGCCTAGCACTTAGTAGATGGTAATAAATGTTTGTTGATTTCTCCCAGAACATTTCCAGCATTTTCCTGTTTCTGACTTTCACACATACACTCACCCTTTTTATCAAACTTTACCCATCTTTTAGGGTCAACAGTAATAGATCATAGGATTTAGAAAAGCTTGAAGATAATTTATTTATTTTTTATTTTTAGGCAGTTGGGGTTAAGTGACTTGCCTAGGGTCACACAGCTAGTAAGTGTCAAGTATTTGGTCTGAGGCCGATTTTGAACTCAGGTCCTCCTGACTTCAGGGCCAGTGCTCTATCCACTTTGAAGATAATTTAGATAATTATAATAGTTCCTATTTCTAAACTGATTCCTGTTTGCAAAGTGCTTTCCTCTCAGCAAATCAGGGAGATAGGTCATGCTAGTATTATTACCTCCATTCATTCTACAGATGAGGGAACTGAGTGAATATCAGAGAGGTGAAATAAATTCCTAGGTTCATAGAACTTTTGTTGTTGTCCCCTTAATTTTATTTTTGTTGTTGTTCAGTTGTTTTCATTCAAGTCTGTCTCTTTTTGATCCCATTTGGAGTTTTCTTGGTAAAGATAATAGAATGGTTTGCAATTTCCTTCTCCAGCTTATTTTACAGATGAGAAAACTGAAGGAAAAAGGGTTAAGTGACTTGCTCAGTGTCATACAGGTAGTAAGTGTCTGAGGCTGGATTTGAACTTAGAAACATGAGTCTTCCCAACTTTAGACCCATGCTCTATCTACTGTGATACTTAGCTACTCTCTAATTTTATAGATGAGGAAACTGAGGTCCAGAGAAGTGAAATCACTTGTTCAAGGTCACACAGATCATTAGGGTCAGAGCTAGGATGTCACATCCAGATTTTCTGACTCCAAATCCAGTACAATGTATCATATTTCCATTCAAGCTCAGGTGGCTCCCTCCTCCAGGAAGCCTTCCTTGACTATCACAGTCTTCACTAGATTGTAAGTTTCTTGAGGTCAGGGACTATATTTTATCTCTTTTTGTATCCCTAGTGTTTAGCACAGTACCTAGCAAATAGTAGGTGTTTAATAAATGTTTATTGATTGATTGATCATAGTTCACTTGGATCTCTCTCTTTGTCCTCTGAACAATCCTGGCTGTCTACTCCTCATAAAGCAATGAGCTTAGGCTGCCTCTAATGATTGGATGTTGTGAAGCAGAGAAAAGAGCGTTAAATTTGAATCCTAGCTCTGCCTTGGGCTCACTCTGTGATCTGATGATTGGAGGAAACAGTGAGGCTGATGACTCTGCACAACCCTGCCTCACTTAAATCCAATTCACTTGCAAGTCAAGACAACACCCTCCTGATGTCATTGGCCCTCTGAGAATGAAGGATGAACAACAATCTGTGAGTGGTAGTAGCCACCCCATTGGGGACCCAATTGGACTGTTCCAGTTGGGCAATGCTGTTATTTCCTTCCTTCCTTCCTTCCTTCCTTCCTTCCTTCCTTCCTTCCTTCCTTTCTTCCTTCCTTCCTTCCTTCCTTCCTCCCTTCCTCCCTTCCTTTCTCCTTGTCTCCCTACATCCACATGTGGAGTCATACTCTTACATGTGGATGCTCTGTCCAAAGGATTATAAATTTTGATTGCTTATACTTTGCAAGATATCTTGGGGTTTGGAGGACAGATTTTTTTCTTTCCTACTTATTTATTCTATCGTTTTTCTTCCCAAAAAATTGGGACAATTAACCCTTTTTTCATATAGTTTTCATTTATGATTTCTTGAAATATAGCTTTGACTGAAATAGCAATTGTTTCTGTTCTTGTCAGAAACTCTGAGTATCTTCCCCTTCCAGACTGATTCTTTTGAGAAGGCAAATCAGGCCATCTTTTGTCTCAATTCCTACTTAGTTCTTAATCCCTGAATGGGTGTTGCCTCAGACAAAGATACCTGGGAAAGACCTTAGTTTAAAAAGGCCAAGGTCTCCTACTGCATCCAGGGCCATCTCCAGTTATCTTGACCTATGTCTAGCCACTGGATTCCAATGACTCTGGAGGAGAGAGTGAGGCTGGTGACTTGGCACAGCCTTGCCTCACTTTAAATTCAATTCACTTGCAAGTCATGACATCACCCCCCCCCCATGTCATTGGTCCTCTTTGAGAATGAAGGACAACTTACTAGCTGTGTGACCCTGGGCAAGTCACTTAACCCTAATTGCCTTAAAAAAAGAGAGAGAATGAAGGACAAACAACAACAACTCTGTGATCTAGGACAATTTATCCCCTCTCTCTGGACCACTATTTCCTCAATTGTCCACCCTCATTTTAAACTGTTGTTTGAATCTAAACTAAATTATCTCTGAGGGCTCTTACAGTTCCAAGTCCTGTCTTCTAGGGTCCTGTCTAGCTCTCAATTCTGTGTTCTGAGATTTGCTCCAACTCTGAATTCTCTGTTCTAAGAGCCCTTAGAATAATATTCTACTTAATTCTCTGTCCAAATTGTCAAGGCTCAAATGAGATAAAAGAATGCATAAAGTTGTGGATAGTGGGCTTATCAAATTTTCAGGTAACAGAGTTGGAAGGAATAATGAACACGTTGGATGACAGCTATTGGGCTGACTCCAATAAGATGAACTCCATTAGAGATAAATGTAAAGTCTTATGCTTGGCTACAGAACAGTCAACTTCAGAGGCATGAGATATAATAGGTATGGAGAGATGGCATTTATTCCGAAAAAGATCTAGGCAAACTCAGTGTAAGTCAGTAACAAGACGTAGTGACCAAGAAAACTAATGAGACTGTGGACCAGCCTCCTGGAATAGGGAGGTGATGGTCCCACTGTACATGGCTGCCTGCATTAGGCTTCACCTGGAGTACCATGTTTAGTTCTGAGCACCACAGTTTAAGAAGGACATTGATAAGCTAAAGAGTATCCAAAAGAAGGCAACCAGGCTGGTGAGGAGTCTTTAGTCTATGGTATATGAGGATGCTTAATCTGGAAAAGACTTAGGAAGGACATGATAGCTTTCTTCAGATATGTGAGATGCTGTCACGTAGAGGAGAGATTAGACATTCTGTTTGGACACAGAGGGCAGAACCAGGAGTAATGGGTAGAAGTTACAAAAAGGGCAATTTAGCTTGCTGGCAGGAAAAACTTCCTAACAATTAGCGTTGCATAAGAGTAGAATGGGGTGCCTCCTTAGAGGTCTTCAAACCCTAGCTGGAGGATCACTTCTGGTGAGGATTTCTTTGGTGAATAGGTCAGACTAGATGACTGCTGAGGTGTCTTCCAAATCTCAATTCTGTGTGATCCGTTGATTGGATAATAGTGTTTTGAAAGTGCTACATGAAAGTAGAGATTATTGTTATCAAGATGACATCCCTGAGTCTCAGTTTCCCAGTCAGTGAAATGGGGAAGTTGGACAAAATAATCTCTAAGGTCCCTTTTTGCGTGATATTCTAGAATCTGAAAAATAAAATTCTATAGAATTCGAATTGCTTTCTTCCCTGGATCCCCCAGTGATGGTCCCATCCTTGGCTAGCGATGGGGTTCCTGAGCTTCTCTGCCTTCCACCATCATGGCCACCTTGCTGCATTCCTCTGGAGGCACTGGGCAGGATGGCTCTGTCCCTGGAGTTGGGGGACAGAGGAAGAGTTTGGAGCCAATCTGGTGGCTGCTATCCACTGCTCCTGGTTTGCGCCTCACAGGTGGATATCAGTGAGGAAGAGCAAGCAGGGTTTCTCTTTATTTTCCTTTCACCTTAGAGGTGGTAGCAGGGGCTGGGAAGGCTACCCTGGGTTGTGTGAGTCACCTGGGCCAAAGAAGGGACAGATTTTCTGGGGGCATTTCCAGCAACTCATTATCATTCAGGGGGGGGCTTTGAGGTAGGAGTGATGATCTCCTCAGGATGTGAAGGATGGAGGCATAGACCCCAAAGTGCTGTTAATGCTTTATTGTACCAGAAGAGGGAATCATAGAGGGAGAGAAACAGGACAACATCATCAGGGTCTGAATGGCAGTAGGGCTGGTCAAGGACGTGATGTGACAGTCTAGCTGCTCCCAGAATGGTCAGTATCAGCTTCAGTTATAATCATTCCTGTTCTCTGTAATGAAAGTCACAGATAGTCACCCCACTGGCCTTTGAGCTAAAGCCAAAGCTGGACCCCTGTTTCAGCTCCCTCAGACATCTGCTATCACAGTTTCTTCCTTGACCAACAATATCGCCTCATCTTCATCAACATGAGACTTCCCACCACCTTCGCCATGGCAGTCCCTGCCATCATCTTTATCACTCTGGCCACCATTATCATCATCATTATAAACTCACCATGGCTGGCATCATCACCATCGCTTCTTGCCCCTCGCCCCTCGCCCCGTCACCCTTAGCAGCAACATCAGCTTTTCTGTTCTTATTCCAGTACTAGGGAGGCATTGAGGAAGTAGGTGACATTCACTTACTGTTGAATCTACAGGTCTTCAAGCAACACTGCACTGAATCAAAATTGTTGCCATTGCCATGGCAGCCACTGTAGATGAAAGCCTCGCAGTTACGAGAGGTTGCGTTGTAGTAGTAGCGAAGAATCTGAGACTTGCAGTTGCCCCTCGCAGGTGGGAGCAGGCATAAAGACGGATCCAATCGGGATGCGTTCTCCACGGAGTTCACGTGGTCTGTGGATGCAGAGAAGGGACAAAGTGATAGGATGAGGACACAAACAGCCAGCTAATGTTCATTGGTGTTCCACAAGCTCTTTTTCACTGGAGGTCACCAAGTGGAGGCTGAACGACCACTTGTTGGGGTTATTGTAGACAGGATTCATAATTTGGCTCAATTTTGGATTGGATGATTTTAGGGATCCTTTTAAATTCTGTCTATAGATGTGTGAATACGTGTTATAATCTACATCAGCAGTTGGTTAAAGTGCATTTAAATAATTGGTTAATACAAATAGGTAGGAATAAGATTGGGCTTGGATTTCATCAATTTTTGGGAGCTCATAGGAAGGAAATTCCTTCTACCAATATAGATCAGCACCTTCTCTGAAGGTACAGCTAGGTGGCGCAGTGGTTAGAGCTCTAGGTCTGGAGTTAGGAAGACCTGGGTTCAAATGCAGCCTTGGACACTTCCTAGCTGTGTGACCCTGGGCAAGTTACTTAATCCTGTTTGCCTCAGTTTCCTCATCTGTAAAATGAGCTGGAGAAGGAAATGGAAAACCTCTCCAGTAAATTTGTCAAGAAAACCCCAAATGAGGCCAGGAAGAGTCAGACACTATTGAAAGGACTCAACAACAAACTTCTTCAAAACTCATAGTCTCAGAGAGTTGCTTAGGGACCCTGAGCAGTTAAGAATCTTACCCAGGCTCACAGAGCTAGTGTGTATCAGATGGGGGACTTGAACCCAGATCTTCCTCGGTCTGAGTCCAGATTCTAGTCACTATGTCCTGCTAGCTTTATAATGTCCTTAACCACTGCTAATGTCCACCAACAATTAGTTAACAAGAAAATGTTTATGTTTCTATCCTCAACTTAATCATTTACTAAGGTTAAGGGGCTGTGTGGACTAATGGCTATCAGACAGTCTCTGAATCAGGAAGATAGGAGATATGAGTTCAGGTCCTGCCTCTGACTCAGTGACCTTGGGCACAGTTTAGCTCATCAGTTTCTCAGGCAACTCTCTGTAAGTTGCAGAACAACTGCATAGATAGAGAGAGTTTCTGAAATGAGAGTTCCCTTCACCAATAAAACTTAAAGTTGAGAAAACAAACAGACAATTGTATTCATTAGAGACTTTTTTATGAATCAGAATAATGATAACCATCCATCCATCTACACTATGTATGTATATATGTATATGTGTGTATTTGTGTGTATGTATGTATACATGGATGGATGGATAAATGGAAGGATGGATGAATAGATAGATAGATAGATATATGGATGCATAAATGTCCCAGGCACAGAACTCAAGCACAGAACATTGGGAGCAGAACTTTCCCCATTAGGGATTCCCTCCACCAATGAACTCAACTCAACACACAGAGATGTGGTACATATGGAAAACAATTAGACTTGGGAGCAAAAGAAGGCAGTTTGTGATTCTGACAGACCCAATGCATATCATTTGAATGTGCTAACGTACTTCTCTCATTGAAATAAACAAATCATTAAGAAAGACCATGGGACGACCATTGATTTGGAATCAAAGAGTCTGGGTTTGAATCCCAACTCTACTGTTCTTACTACCTGTATAACTTTGGACAAGTGATTCTATGTTCCTGGGCCTGGTTTTTTCCTCTGTAAAATGAGGGGATTGGATTAGGTGATCTCAAAGGTTTCTTCCAGCTCTAATTGATCTTTTAAGTTGAGAATAGGTTCTACTATGGGAAGGACTCTGCCTGTCACTTTCTATATCCAAAGGTCCCTCCTAGCTCTGACTCAAGTGATGACTCAAGGACCTGAGCAAGCATTATTGTGGGTTCTTGGTGAGGGGACAAGCTCTTCCATGGTATCCCTGGACTGTTCTCTACACACGAAAAAAGCTTCCTCTCCTTAGATTAGGGTCAGGCCTGGGCAAAATTATGGAATCTGTAACTTTTGTCTTTGGTTTCCTCCCACTTCCATCTGAGGTATTCCTGTCCTACACTATTCCTGGTCATTCTCCTCTGCTACAGGGCATCCATCCTATCACAGCCCCTCATCATTTCTTCACCACCTTCTTTTCTCCCCCTGCCCAAAAAAGGGACTGTGCTCTCAGCTGAATCTACCAAAAACTTCATGACTCAAAAAGTAGATGCTCAATAACTATTTGTTGATTTGATTTGTTGTTTATACTCGAATAGTAGGTAGCAGCCATTTATTTGGTGTTAAAAAATAATCCTGGGTTGGGAGTCTGAATCCTTGGATTTGAGAGCTAGCTCTGACAGTAATTCCTCATGCGACTTCCTCTAAGTCATTTCCCTTATCTTCAGCTGTTTCTTCATTTCTAGAACAAGGGGCTTGGATCAGATCATCTCCAAGGCCCCTTCCAGGTCTGATATTCTGTTCTGAAGTCCCTCCTAGACACTCTTTGTCCTATGTTTTAAGAAATATCTTCCAGATCTGAGATCCTGTCCCAGAAGGATCATAGATTTAGAGCTGGAAGGGGCCTTAAAGACCATCTAGTTTAATCTCCTTCATTTTATAGATGAAGGAATCAAAATCTAGAGAGTTGGAGTTATGGAGCCCAAAGTCAGAGGTACAGAGCAGTAGAACAGAGAGGTGAAGCTGAGTCCTCTGTCTACCAACATGGTCTTCTTCTACCTGCACGATGTTTCTGGTGCCTTCCAGAGCTGACTTTGGCTAATTGACATCCTACACTTTATGATCCAAGATCCCCTCCTACCTAGTCAATGTTTTATATCTTAAGAACCTTGCCAACTCTATGGTCACAGGATTTTAGAGTTGGGAGAGCCCTTAGCATTCTATGATTCTGTGGTGTCACGATGACTTTTGAAGACCACAAGGTCTCTTCATTTGTAAAAATAAGTTTCCTCATCTGTAAGATGGCTTTGGACTAGGAAACCTCTAAGGTCCCTTCCTGCTTTAAATCTTTAATGCTATCATCCCAACCCCCCTTTTTAGTATTCTAGCTATGGGGACAGGGAACTGGGGGATATGGTTTTGGACAGGCAAAATATGCTCAATGGTCCTCAGATAACTTCCCAAAGGCCAGCGTGTAGTTGTCTGGCCCTGGTTTGATTTTTGCAAATGGCCCCAACAAACTTCCTTTTAGAGTCATAATCTATCAGATCTGGGAGAGATGTAAGAATGTCAGAGTTGGAAGATACCTAAGAGGTCATCTAATCCAATTCCCTCACTTTTTAAAGAAGAAAATGGAAATTTAGAAAGAGGATATCCAAATGCTGGTTTAATTTAATTCTAAGGTCCTTTTCAGCCCTAAATCTATGAACTCATGAGCCCACTAAGTCAGACTAGAACCCAGTTCTCCTGGCTCTCAGCCCAGTGTTCTTCATATGGAACTGTTCTACACTGACTCTCTCTCAAATAATATCAACTTTAGGGGCAGCTAGGTGGCACAGTGGATAAAGCACTGACCCTGGAGTCAGGAGGACCTGAGTTCAAATGTGACCTCAGACATAGAATACTCACTAGCTGTGTGACTCTGGGCAAGTCACTTAACCCCAATTGCCTCACCTAAATAAATAAATAAATAAATAAATAAACATCAACTTTATGGGTAAGAGTAGGATTTTAATAGCCCCAGCTGCTGCCATGATTCCTTCTCTTGGGGAGAGGGGTGCTACTTACCTAAAAGTTTTTCTGAGCTGGTCAGGCCAGCCAGGCTGAGGGTGAAGCAGAGGGCAACAATGATGAATTTCATGGTGCTACTGGTAGATAACACTTGATCAATGGGCTTGAGCCCGTGGGGTTGGTTTTATATCCTCAACCAAAGTTGGGGAGAAAAGGGGGGGGAACAAGGTAGGTAGAGGATTAGTCATACCCATCATATGACTTGGAGGAGGAAATGTTCCCCACCTCCCATCCCCAGGCAAAAAGTTTTTGGCAAGAGGAGCCCAGCCCCTTCCCTTGGGGTATCTGGCAAGCCTCTTGCCCAGGTAGCCTGGAGGGGCTGGGCATAGATTGGGCAAACCCCACTAGACTGAGAGCCAGATTATCCTCTGGGCTGCCCAGGCTTCAGCCTTACCTGCAAGCTGGCATCATCTCTGGAGCTCCTGAAGTCTGGTGGATGGAAGGCACTCCTGAAAGGCATCTGGGTAACCTTGGCTCGGGAAGTGAGAGTGTCCAGTGAGGTAGGGGCATGCAGAAGCAGAGGCAGATGCATGGACTGGTTATGGTCATTGAGCTATGAGTCAGGAGAATTGAGTTCTAGCCCTGATGGCCACTCGCCAAACCACCATCCTTCTCTGGACCTCAGTCTTTTTGTTTGTTAAAGGGAATAATAAGATCTTCCTTATTTGCCTGCACAAATTGTTGAGGTTCAAATGAAATAGGAAATACTTAAGTTTTTAAAACAATCTACAAATATTAAGGTTCAAATCCCACATTTGAACACATACTGTGATCCTGGGATAGTCCTTTTAACTCTGTGCTCTAGATAACTCTCAAAGACTTTAAGTTGCAAGGAGGTGCCAACCTGCATTGGTCAAGGGTGTTCCCAATACCAATAAAACCACAGGTCTTTTCCCTCTCCTACAAATATCAGAGATTACTGTTAAGGTAACCTCTCCAGGCTCCTTGGTTTCCCCATCTGTAAAGTGAGGTGGTTGGACTAGTCAATTTGTAAGACTCCTTCCAGCTCTAACATTCTATTTCATGGGTCCCTTCCAGATGTACAGATCTATTTTTAATTCAGTTTAAAGAAACATGAAGCATTATGTGTACATCCTAATTCAGCACTGCCTTCAGCATTGGGCAGAAATTGTTTAGGTCAATGGTGTCAAACTCAAAAAGAAACAGGGCCCACCAAACTGTACCTAAGGATCTCTGAGGGCCACATATTGACTTAGAAAACCACTTATTAACATTATCTATGTTTCATTGAATTTTTGTCTGTTTTGTTCAATATTTCGCAATTACATTTTAAGCTGGTTCCAGCCACACTAAGGAGTATTGTGGGCTGCATATGTGGTTGTGTGTTTGATGCCTCTGGTCTAGAAGTCAAGCTTCACTGGGAAGCATAACTAAGGGACATCTCATGATCATAGATAATTGCTTGGAGACCAGGGTCAGAAAGATTGAAGCCTTCAGGTTTCATGTTGACTTGGGAGACTACAGGTGCTTCTGAAGGGCAGGAAGCAGCATGATATGATGGAAAGGACATTTCATCTGGTGTCAGAGGACCTGGGTTCATATCTTCTATCTGTTATTTCCTGCCCATGTGACCCTCAGAAAGTCTTTTTTTTTTTTTTTTTTACTTGATTCACTTGGCCTCTCTGGGTCTATTTCCTCATTGGAAAAATAGGGGACTAGAGGATTATAAGTTTAAAGCTAGAAGGGACCTAAGAAGCCATCATTTTAGAGTGGAGGAAACTGAACAGTAGTGTGCTGGTAAATGTTTAACCACCCGCTCTCCATGATACCCGAGTTCCTCATCTTTGCCAATAAATGACTGGACAAGCCATTTCATTTCTCTGAGCCTCTGTTTCCTTATCTATAAAACAGAGATAACAATCCCTGCCCCTTTCCCTCTTAGGATTGCTGTGAAGATTAGATGAGACAATGGATGGGAAGGCACTTTTGAAAAGCTTCCAACCTCTAGACACACATGGAGTGATGCCCAAGGCGGGGGTTGGTACATGTGTCCTCTGACCTGGAGGCTTTTCCTGGAACATAGCCCACTGACAGGGAGATGGAGAAGGGTATGGTGAAAGAAAGGATGGGAGGAGGGGACACATAGGTCTAGGTTAGGCGAGGATGGCAGAGAGGTGGCATAGCAACCTAAGAAGCCATCGAGTCTTCATTTAGTGGATGAGGAAGCTAACTTGGGTCTTTTGACTCTAATTCCAATGTTCTTTCCAAGACCCCCTGATGCCTAGCCATCCAGCAGTTCCCAGAACCTGCCCCAGGCCCTGGGAAGCTCTGGATAGGAAGAAGCTATTTCATCATAAGGCCCAGGGGGTCCTGGGAGACTGCCCAAGGGTCTCACTTGATGGAAAGCCAGATTCCCCCACCCCCAGTGCCCATGTTTCTCTGGCCCCAACCCCACTAGCCACTGGCTGGGATCGCTTCCGAGGTTTCTCCTGGTATATGCTGGCACATATCCTGGGGGAGCAAAGTGGGACAATGGCAAACCCTGATTGTAGGGAATAGAAATGTGACTCTCTGACCTGCAGGCCTCCATCCTCACGTCGGCCTCCCCATCCCTCTTCATGTCTAAGGTTGAGCAGGATATCTCTGCTCTAAGACCCGAGGTGCCCCTGGAGGGGAAAAATTTTCTATTGGAGTTGAGTGGCTCATGCTCACTCATTGTCTAGTTGTGACCCCAGTAGCTCCCCAGGAACCTGAAGTCTTCTTGGCCTTCATACTACGAGAGATGGATCAGACACTCTGCCGGACCCTTGGTTTGAGGCACTGATGCCTCAAATACCTTTGGTGGTATTTATGGAATTAGAACCCACTCAAGTTCCTGGATATTGGGATACACTGTGATTAAGGACATTTATACAGCACTTTATGGCTAACAGAATTACTTTATACCAGCTATTTAATTTCATCTTCACAAAAATCCTGTGATTTGGGCAGTGCAAATATTATCACCACCACACCTCTCTTCTTTATGTTGTCTCCTTTTTGTAAAAGAGGAAATTGAGGTTCCGAGAGACTGGATGATTAGCTGTCAGTCACATAGCTGGTCAGTGATGGAGCCTGGACTTGACCCGGGTCCTCTCATTCCCAAGAAAGTGTTTTTTCTACTACATCACCCTTGGTGATATCCTGAGTGCATATTGGGTTTCCCCTGTGTGCCATGGTCTGTGCTCAGTGATGTGGGGAATAGGAAGAAGGAAGAGGTGCCCTTCCTGCCTGCAAGGAGCTCTCCTTCTAGTCCAAGAGGGAGAGAATAGAGTTATAGGTAGTCAGAGCCCAGAAGGACCTTAATAAGGGTGGGGAACCTGTGACCTCAAGGCCTGGTCCCCCCTCCCCCCCCAGTCCTAGTCCAACTACTTTATCTTAAAATGTTATTTAATTTTTATTTGAAGAATAAGCTTTATTGATTTTTTGTTTGTTTTTACATTATAGTCATTGCTGGATACCCCACCCTCCACCCTGAAATTCTTTCAATTGAATCTTTCCTTGTATCAATAAAAACAAATAAATAAATAAGTTGTCACAGGGACTGTATCTGACAATGCTTTGCCCACCTAGTCCCCAGCTTCTCTATGAGAGTCCGGGGGCATGTTTTGTTATCAGACTTTGAAGACTTTTATTAATTTTTAAAAATTATGCAGTTTGACTTTCCTTTTAGTAAACTTTTAATCTACGTTATTTTAATCACTGTGTATATTCTGCTCCTGGTTCTGATTATTTCATCCTGTTTCATTGTAGGCAAATCTTTCGATATTCTCTGAATTTGTCCTGATTGTCCTTTGGCACCGTACAATAATACTCCAATACGTTTATCTCGAGGCCTTGTAGCATGGCAGCTAGCAGCATCCACCTTCAAGCCAGGAAGAATGAGGTTCAGTCCAGCCTTCTTGACACACAAGTGGGCAAGTCACTTAACCTTAGCTCCCCCTGGCAATTTTCTAAGACTCTTAAGTTTAAGAGAAGGTGCTGACCTGCATTAGAAGAGGGAATTCCTCATAGGAGGCTCCCTATTCCCTAGCCAAGGTAGATATATCATAGTTTGTTCAGCTGCTCCCCAGTGGATGGGCACCTACTAACTTCCTCTTTTATTTTACAGAGGAGAAAAATGAGGTTCGGAGAGGAGAGAGAGGGGATTTACTTTGAAGGTCATACATCAGTCTGGACTAGAACTCAGGGCTCTTGACCCATCCTAGTGCTCTGGCCAAAGTCTATTGGTGGCACAGAGTTGGACTTAAGAATCAGGTTGCCAGGGTCCTGATTCTGATTCTGCCCCTGACTTGATCTGCGACTTTGAGCATGTCATTTATCTCTCTAGGTCAGGCCTGCACAACATACTGCCTGCAGGCCACTTTGGTGGGTTGCAAGTGGTCTGCAGGCCATATGTTGTATAGGCCTGCTCTACGCTTTACTTTCGTCATCTGCAAAGTAGCTAACATTTATATAGATATTTAAAGTTTGTACATAGACACATACACACACATATACAAATCTTAAATCACTACATCTATATCACTATATATCTATAGTTATAGATACATGGATATATCATAATCTCATATATACATATAATCTCATATATGTGCTTACATATAATTATTATAAGCATTATAATTATTATATTATAAAACTATTATATATTATATATAATTATTTATTATATATTACAATATGCAATGTATAATATATCGGGGCAGCTAGGTGGTACAGTGGATAGAGTGCCAGGCCTGGAGTCAAGAAGACTCATTTTCCTGAGTTCAAATCGGGCCTAAGACACTTATGAGCTGCGTGACCCTGGGCAAGTCACTTAACCTTGTTTGCATCAGTTTCCTCAGTTGTAAAATGAGCTAGAGAAGGAAATGGTAAATCACTCCAGTATCTTTGCCAAGAAAACCTCAAATGGGGTCACAAAAAGTCAGACATGACTGAAAAATTACAAAATAACAAAATTATATATTATTATATTATACATAATTTATAATCACATAGGATTCTTTTCATTTTAGTGTTATTTTAATCTACATTATTGTAGTCATTTTATATGTCATTTTCTTAGTTCTGTTTACTTTGCTCTCTGTCATTCATATACCACAGTTTGTTTAGCCATTTTCTAGTTAATTGACT